ATTGCAATCCCCCAACTCCCTCCTCTGGAGATGCCCGCTCAGGAAGACCTGTGTCTGGATGACCTGCCTCCTCTGGAGCTGCCGGAGGACATCCAGAATGAACTGCAGGAGCTGCTGGACAGAGACAAATTGTGATGAGACACATGTCACACATAGTCAACTCCTGTGTGGATGGGATTTCAAATTTCAGGTGCCATATCTTTGACATGAGAAACCCACACATTGTATGTGATCTCAATATACAGTGTCAAAGACGCCACAACAGGTTTTTTTTAATCAAAACTGAAAACCCTTGTACCACTTTCACAACACCCAGAAATACTGACTGCTGGAACAATAGCGTACAATGTCTGTCCAGTGAGCTCTGCCTGAACTGGAATGGTCATGAATATGTGTTTCAGAATTGCATGGGAATGCTCGGTTATAAAAGGAATGTGTGTAAAAATTGTAACAATGCAAACGAAAAATGTTTTTCCAACCTTCTCCTCAGCGTTCCGACTCTCAGAGTTGCCAGACTCTCAAAAGGATGTTGAAGACAGAATGACGTATAGTATATGAAGTAAGTAAATATACTTATAGCAGGTTCTACACTGGAGTGTTATTTTTAAATGTATTCTCCTGTGTTTGTGAACATAGACCAACATTGATGATATTTGAAATGTTCCACCAGGTGGCAACATTTAAGGTTAAGGTCATTCATATCAAGTAATGTGAGCTATAGCTGCTGTTCTGTCTTCAACAAACTGGTTTGGTGACTCTGGTGTCAATGCGCTACAATATTGTAGCACAACAACAAAAACTACACTTTAACAGAGGTACAGTTTGCAGGCTGTATAATAAAAAGCTGTGAATGCACTGTCTCGGTTGTCTCCAGCGGAGCCAGGTTTTCACTTTTTCTCTGACATATCATGGTCACTTTATGACTTAATGAAAATTCTTTACATAAAGTTCATGGAGGAAATGTATAGTTTACAGAGAATCACAATGAACCACCAGTGCGATTAAGTCAATTCTAATTAATAAGGTTTATTATAAAATATTCACAAAAGCCATAGATGTGATCCTGAGGCTATGTGTTCCTGTTTTTTTTTTTTTTTGTTTGTTTGTTTTTGGTTGATTCAGCTATTTCCATATTAGTTTGCACTTTGAGTGAGAGAGAATGACATGAGTACAAACAGACTTGACTGTCACTGTGGGTTATGATCCAGACAACGACTGTAAATGAACATGATTACAAGTTGTTATTTAATAAATGAGGACATTTACTTTGACCTGATGTCACACAGGTTCAACTTGCTGTTACCTACAACTTTTAGCCTTCCCTAATTTTTTCCCTTAATATTGTTTATTTTACTCCTCGGTGAACACTAGTTGTTGTTTTTTTTGTCCTGGTGCAGTGTAGTTTGAATATGATGCAGACATTTTCATAATTTGCCTAGACCAGTGGTATGTACTAGGTGGTACTTGGGCCCCCTCTAGTGGTACACAGGCGAATCTGATCGTCAATGGAATTAGATGGGTGACTTGGTTTATATATAGTTATCATTTGCTGTGTGTGGATATAATTTTAGAATTTAATTTGAAGTTCCAGTTAGTACTGATTACAGTACTAGGAATACATTCTCCTCTTCATATACAATACTTAGTGAACCTGCGCTGTTATATATATATATATATATATATATATATA